GATGTGGAGAGATGTTGAATATATTACTTTTAGTTATACATTGGGTTTTGAAGCTGCAGAACAGTATTGGTAGGTGGATTTTAGGTGGAATGTAAAATAATTAGTTCTTTATGAACATATGTTCTACTACCAGATGACAGCATTCACCTAGAATATGTTTTGATAATTCTGTAGAACAAATTATCGTGGATCCAGTCACTCCTTAGTGAATTCCTTTCCATAGTGATTTAAATAAGGTTGGTCTTTTTTTTTTTTTTTTTGTCTTTTTCCGTGTCCGGCAACGGATCGCAACCCTCAGTGTCGCCCCCGCACCAGACCGGGACCGGCAACGGGATCGCAACCCTCAGCGTTGCTCCCGCGCCTCGCTCAGCCAGTGAGCGGGAACCGGTCTGTATGTGGGATCTGAACCCTCGGGCGGGAGCGCCGCCGCGCTTCCCAAGCGGCGCACTATCCAGTGCGCCACCGGGCCGGCCCATAAATAAGGTTGGTCTTTGAAAATTACAAACTTGTTTGAAAATGAATATGCTGCCTTGCATTATTAAATCTAACTATTTACATTATATTTTAATTTTATAGAACTACTCTGTGCTTCTGTTGAATGAGTTTAGTATTAAATCTAAGTTTAACCTTCAGTCTTAAGGTTCCTAAAATTTTTCACTTTTTATTTCTGAATGCCTTTTTATAATTTACTTAATAATATAGCTTTGATTTGTCCATTTATGTGTTCTAGATGTGTAGAAGTGCTGCACATACTTATTATGGTAGAATGGTTTTGTTCTCCTTAGGGGTAGGAAAACTTTTTCTGTGAAGGGCCAGATAATAAATATTTTAGGCCTTGTAGGCCGTATGGTCGCTGTCATAGCTACTCAACTTTGCTGTTGTGCTAAAACAGCTATAGGCAATACATTAATATATAGGTGTGCCCTGTGTTCCAATAAAACTTTACAAAAACAGGTGGTGGGCTGGATTTGGCCTGTGGGCAGTAATTTACCAGCTTCTGCTCTGAACTATTGAGTCTGTGGTCTCTGCCAAATCAGGTCCCTCTATATCTGGAAATGAAGAGTTGGTTTCTCCATAGTTTCTCCTCTTTGCTTTGTCATCAATAGCAATATTTTAATTCTGAATGCTAACAGCATAGAGAAAAAATATTCTAAAGATATTCTCAGAGGAAATGGGTTAACTGGATTTAGAGAGATTGCAAACTGATTTCATACATGTATTCTGTGAGCCTGGGTACTCCTGTAGTCTTTGGCTTATCACTGATGAACTCTGCTGAAGAAAGCCATGGAACTGTGTTAATTTGTGCTTGGTCACCTCAATGCTGCCAGTCAGTCTTTTATTTATCTCTATTTGACTTCTTACATTCCTCACAGCATCTCTTCCAAGATCATCATTGTTTTTTCCTTTAGACATCACCTCCGTTTCCCCTTATCTCGGTCTCAGCATTTGATCTTGTATGTCTTATTCAGCAAAGATGAGTAATATCATTCAATATGAATCTCTTTTATTCTATATTAGTTCCTTAGTGAAGATAAAAATGATATTTCTAATGACCTAAATGATTTTCCAATTCCCAATTTAATGTGCATAGTCTTTAAGTTATTGTAAAATAGTATAGTACGCCATGAATTCCTCTTCTAAGACATGAAATTCTCCCAAAGAATGCAACTACCATTCCACAAGATGTTTTCTAGATATATATGATTAGACTCTTAGTACAAAAGTGAATTAGGAGGATATGCTGTTAGGATTGTGCCTTAAAGTTATAATCTTTAAGATAGACAATAAGCAATAGTATGCCTTAAAGAAGGAAAGGTCCAGATAGGTTAATATGATGTTCTTGATAGTAAATTTTTTGTCTTACTCTTATTTTTAATTAGAAGAACTGATTCTGCAGAGAATTTATCTCAGACTATATCCAGGGAATCTTATTGTCCCAGCCTGAGGATAATCAGTTAGAGCTAGGTGGCAGTGTTCTATGGCTGTCCAAGCTATCCCAGGGTTTCAGAAGTCTTAGAGAAAGGAGGAATTTTGCATGGGCAGATATCCTAAAAAGTATATAGTGACCTGGCATTGGCCATGCCTCCTACTGGTTCTGCAGTATACCCTGTGCTATTGCAAGGCAGGATGTCTACACCTTCATTAGGCATCCTGGTGTTGGAAGGAGGCAAACTACATAACCCTAAGACAGGGAGAAATTTAAAAAGGGGGGGTTTGGGGTGAGAGTTTGAAGAAGTAAAAGAAAACATCATTTTAAAAAGAATTAGAAATCGTCTACACCTTCATTAGGCATCCTGGTGTTGGAAGGAGGCAAACTACATAACCCTAAGACAGGGAGAAATTTAAAAAGGGTGGGGTTTGGGGTGAGAGTTTGAAGAAGTAAAAGAAAACATCATTTTAAAAAGAATTAGAAATTATGGAACATAAATAGACTAAGAGTAACAGAATACAAATAAGGAAAAAAAAAGATAAATGTGACTATATTAAAATATAAAATGTTCACATCTCGGAAGATCCCGTAAATAAAATGAAAAGACAGGTCTCAGGTTTAGAGAAGATATTTGTAATGGATATAATGGACAAAGATTGCTATCCAGCATAAATAAAGAATTTGTACTAATCAAGAAGGAAGAAACAACCCAGTGGAAAAATCAGCAAAGGATATGATTAAGCAGTTTACAGAGCAGGAGGTATAAGTGGCCAATAAGCATATGAAAAAATGAAAGATCCTAACCTCGCTAGCAGTCATACTTATGTAAATTATACTGTTCTGTACTCGTCAGATAGGCAAATGTTAAAAAGAATGAAAAGACCATATGTTGGCAAAAATGTGGGGAGACTTAACACTCTTACACTGCTGGTGGGAGAATAAATTGATTCAAGCATTCAGGAGACCTATTTGGCAAAATTTAATAAAGTTGTAGCATACCCAAACACCTGGAAATTCTTCCTCTGGGATGTGCTCTAGAGAAATATTGTACTGTCCTATAAATACACAGGAAGCATGTATGAGAATGTTTGTTCTAATACTGTTTGTAATGGTGAAAATTGTAAACAACTAAATATCCATCAAATGAGAATACGTGTTGTAGTATATACAACCATTAAAAAATCAGTGAACTAGAGCTGTGTGTATGGACAATCTTTATGTACAAATCTTTCACAAATGCTGGTGAGGAACATGCAGCAGTATATGCAGATTGTAATATTTATATAAAAACCATGTAGAACAATATTATATGTTACTTATTGATACATAATGTGTAGTCAAATTATATAATTTTCAAGCATGTTTTTAAACACTGAGTCATGATAAGGATTACCTCTGAGGAAATATATAAATAGATGGAGGGTTACAAAAGTAGATAATCAAAGAAGGCAAAATATTAAGAGTTAATCTGAGTGGTGGCTATATGGATATTCTATTGGACCCTATACTAGTCTGCATATTTGAACTTCATCTGATTCTTCATAGTAAATAATTTTAAAATAAATTAACAAACAAGTTCCATGAGTTACATGTATGTATCTGTGTGTATTTTTATGTCTGTATATATTTTTAATTTAAAATTTCTTACCCACAAGGATATATGGGATCTTCTCTAAAAATTCTCTCCAATATGGTCTGGATATTGCTCATGAGAAAATCTTATAAAACAAAACCTAATGGCCTGTCCCTATCTGTTAGTAAGTTGAAATGACTAAGTACTGTAGAGAAACTCAAATTAATTTATCTTCATATACCCTTTCTAATGTGAACATTCTGAGTGTTACATGGGATTGTCTTGTAACTGTTATAAGTTATGTGGAAACTTAAGTATAAAATCAGTATAAACTTTTTTTGCTTAAATTAAAAGAAATGCTCAACAATGAAATAATTAGACTTAACTTTAATATCCCTCTAGGGCCTGTTATAACTACTATTATTTTATTTTTGCTTTAAATGACCTTACTTTATGTGAAATACTGTATTATTTTATTTTCTCAGTGAGAATCTTATCTGGGATTTGGCCAAATGTTTTGCTTTGTCATTGACACAGTCTTCATCCCCTCCCTCAACTAATATTTTTCCGTTTCAGTCTCTGTGCGCTTGGAACAGATTTAACAGAGGTTCTATGATATCTTCATTGTGTTAGATATGATTTAGTTCAAATGTTTATCATGTAAATTTGAATAGTTTTCTCCTGAATTCATAAAAGAAAAACTGGAAATTTGAATATTTTGCATTCTTTTGTTTTTTTACAATTTTTCATGGCAGGCATGTCATGAAATGAAATGACTTTTTAAAGATATTTTAGGTGCCACGATTATGTAGCACTCTAGCATACTTTAGGGTTTCTTTAGTGGTGAGACCGTTTTCATTGCACAGGATACATGGGCTTAAATGGCAGGAACATGACTGGAAAGTACATGTTTATATAAGTTTCAGTCAGCACATTGCTACTGACAGGTGCTCAATGGTTGTTCGTATCCTTGTCAGCAAAGAGAATCCTTTGACATTAAAGTCACCAGCTCAATCCTGATTTTGGGTGACTCTATTGGCAGTTCTATCAGGCTGCAGCTGATCAGTGAATGTCAGAGCTGCCACTGTTCTTCAAGAGTGTCACCAGCACCGTGTGGGTATTTGGGGGCAGGGGGCAGTGAGGGGAAAGGGTGGCTTAGCTTGTCTTGTTAATCAGTCTTAACCAGAATTTCAAATTGCTTACCTTTGGGAAATGAACTGAGAGGTCATGGGGATTATACGTACCTTTAGAGCATGAGAAACCATATACAAAGTGACAACTTAACATGGAGACTAGTAATGATTACCCTGACTCCAAGCCAATCAATGGTGGAGCATCTGGGGACTCATTAAATGGCATTTGTGGAATCTGTAACTTAGGTTTTGAGCTGTATTTCAGGAAAAGCAGTGACAGCCTTTAATGTCTAATTGACCTCTTCTCTTTGTTTCACTTTCATTCACTTTCCATATTTGCCTTTGATGTGGTCCCTGATGGCAGCAAACAGCACTGCTCAGCATTTTGAACTTCTGTTCAGAGCTTCAGCACCTCAGTTTGGGCAGTTGTATCATGGTAAGTATTTGAAAATTCTTTATGCTCAATTGCTTCTTCTCTTTTTCTTCCCATGGTTGAATTTTATCCTGACCCACACCATGCCACCCATACCCACGCCACCCATAGCCACTCACAACTTTTCATATTTATGGTTGACTACTTCATACTTCACTTTCAAACATTTTTCTTAAATTGGAGAGTATGTCTTTGAAACACTGACATTATTTATCTACAAGAGCAAGGAAAGAAGTATAGTGTGGTGGGAGAGTTCAGTTCTGCCCCAAGCCAAATGTTACCTCAGACAGGCTATTTACGTCTCTGCATTTCTTTACAAAATAAGATGTCAGTCATACCCCAAATGCTAATAGTTTAGTAAGTTTTTCACAAGGCTAATTTTAGTTTCTAAATTTTGAGATTATTTCCTGAAAATGTTGATGATAGTAGGTAGGTTTGTTTTATTTGCTTTTGCATTTGTTTTGCTGTCCTTACTGTGCAAAATAAAAAGATTGACACCCTACACTGGAACTCATAGTTTTTGAAAATTTTTTTGGCTTGTGAAATCCAAAAGCCTAGGGTCTGTTAGACTAGGTAAGCTTTAAATATTTAAAATTTTCCTTCCATATTTAAAATTATGATTTTTTTGTGTCCCCGAGAGAACTCATGGAAAGAGTTATAAATCTTTCTTGTCTAAATTACATAATTATATAGCTTATAAATAGTGCTGAAACTTAAAGGACAGTAGAATTCTTGGGGAGGGGTGCATGTATTTGCACATGTGTGCAGGCACACACATACTCACTGGAAATGAATCTTCTGGTATAACTGACAGTGGAGCAATCCATTCCTCTTCACTTCCACCCTCCCCCCCTCTAACACAGGCAGATTTAGGAGATCCCCAAACCATTCCAGTTTTACATCCACTTAGTAGGAAGACCTGAATAAGCAAGATGATTACAAGATTTCAGAGAAGTTCTTCTGTTACCTTAGGCTTGCAATCAGTGGTCATGGTGCCTGACCTAAAACAGATCCCATTTACACATTTTTTAGAGCTCAGCAGTAGTTTCAGTGATGCTCCAAGATTTGGCAATGTAAACTAGATAAGCCTCTTATAATGACATATTTATCCATGTTCCCATGGTCATTAATCATGGTGATTAGGTCTTATTAAATGCTGAGTATGGGCTCAGGCCATCCTGGTCTCTGGAAGCAATCTTGGGAGCCCACTAGATTCTCTCTGGTCAATTTCTTACCTTAGTAAGTTGTTTCATAGGCTAGTATCTCATTGTGTTTCCTTAAGATGGCTGCTCAGAATTCTTTTTCAGTCATTTCAAGGTTTTCCTGCTCTATGGAGTCTAGCACTTGAGAATTATTGTATTCCTTTTGGTGGTGTCATATTTTCTTGTTTTTTCATATTTCTAGTGTTTCTATGTTGATGTCTAGTCATCTGGTAGAGCAGTTGCTTCTTTTTTTTACTCTGGAGTAGGCTTTGAGGAGATAGACTTCCTCTTTTTCTGGACTCCTCTGGTGACTCTCCTTTTGTCAATATAGTCAAGTGGTTGGTGGGCCACCTGCATGGTGGCCATGGCTGCTGCTGTGGCAGCTAGCCACTTTTGCAGTGGCAGTGGGTGTGGCGGTGGCTGTGGTGGACTACCCATATGAAAGCACTGTTTGTGGCAGTGGTGGGGGCTATGGTCCCCAGGCATGCTCCTGCCTTCTGTCAGGTGGGGGGCTGATCATCTCTTTGATTTAAAGTTTTTTATCCGTGGTAATGGAAAGCAATGACAGAATAGATAAGGATCACCCTCTGAATTTATTTTGCTCATTTATTAGTCTGTATGTCTTTCACAAAAACATGGACAGTGCTTTTAGTTTACTACTGTTCCTAGCATCTGGAGTGGTGCTGGCACATAGTAGTTGCATAAATATTTGTTGAAAATATGAATAAACTGTTAAATTAAATTTGGCCTAAAGGTTTCTCTTGACATAATGAATATGATGTGTAAACAGACTGTAACCTACTCTCGTAAAAAGTAGACAAGTCTCAGTCAACCACAGGCAGCCAACTGTTCAAACCAGTTTCAAATAAGACAAACGCCCAGCTGTAACCAAACCAGCTGTTTCTGTACCTCTGTTTTCTGTATATTGCTTTTCTTTTTCTGTTCATTAATATTATCTAACCATATGGCAGCCCTGGAGTCACTCTGAACCTATTCTGTTTCTGGGGACCGCCCAATTCGTGAATCGTCCTTTGTTCAGTTAAACTATGATACATGTAATTTGTCTAAAAGTTTTCTTTTAACAAAACAAATGAACAAAAGGAAATAATGATTGTAAATGTTTACTATATGGTTTCCTTTTGACTTCTGGTAATAATTTTGATAAGTGATTATAACAAAATCAAATGAACTTCTAAAAAGATCCTACTTAAAGAAACATTATTATAGCATATAAAGCCAAGAACTGAAATGTTCAGTCCTTGATTAGTAGGGACTTATTCTGTAATCATGTGAAGTATTGGACACCTCTAGTAACTGACAGTGATTAACATATTATAATCTAAATTTTTTTCAGATTGTATATTTAGTCCCCAAATATGCATTTAACCCAAAACTAGTATCATTATTAGTACTACCAGCATTTCCTCATGGTGTTTTAGAGGCTACCAAGTGCACCCCTGTATCAGGAAGATCTTTGTATCTACCAAAATGTATTCATCATATATAAAATAGAAGAAACTAGGCATGATTACAAGTAGCAGCAGCAAGGCCAAAGTGGTAGGCATAAAAGATAACACATAATCCTCAGATTCTTCATGAGAGACTGGGGACATCAGACTACTTTGGGATTTAATTTATTAACATCCTCTGCCTGGAGTTCTGTTAAATAGATTTTTGAGTAAGTTATTACTCTTGCTGTTTTATGAAATAGTGGCAAATCTGTGAGATAAGTGGGCAGATCTGTATTAATAAGAATGTGGATATGTTTACATGGAAGCAAACAGTAGGAGATGATTAAGAATGTTCTAATTTGCTCTAAACAGTGTGTTTCTGAGCATAATATGTAAAAGATTGGATTGTTTGATTTACAGATTGAAGACTGTGATGTGATAGCTAGCATGATAGGAGCCAAGTGTAAAAAACTCCGGACCCTGGATCTGTGGAGATGTAAGAGTTTTACTGAGAATGGAATAGCAGAACTGGCTTCTGGGTGTCCACTTCTGGAAGAACTTGACCTTGGCTGGTGCTCCACTCTGCAGAGCAGCACCGGGTGCTTCATCAGACTAGCACGCCAGCTCCCAAACTTGCAGAAACTCTTTCTTACAGCTAACAGGTCTGTATGTGACACAGACATTGAAGAACTGGCAAGTAATTGTACCAGATTACAGCAACTGGACATATTAGGTAAGGATTCAATAGTAAATTTATTTTCAAGCCTATTTCTATGACATAAAAGTTAATCTCAGACTTTTTTCAAGGGAAAAAGAAAATTTCTGAGATACAATAAAAATTTTGTCCTGATAAGATTACTTGATAGGAAGTACAAGATAGATTGATTTAGGGAATAATTAATATTATCTACTTAAGTAAAATATTGAGGACAAAAACAGAATTCTGTAGTTGGACCTATCAAAAGTTCTAAATAACCATTAATTATTGGTTTAGTTAGAAGAATGAGAATTACATTACCTGTGTTCTACATTTTTATTAAGGATAGAAAAAAAGAAATGAGGCTGTTTGTATAATGAATTCAAGTTTGATTTTTTAAAAAAGCTTCTTATTTAAACTTCTGATTAAGGAGTGCTGTGAAATCTTTATCCCCAATACTTTTAATTTTTAGGACTACTTCTACACCAGGCAGATCTGTTGTAGATCCTTTCCAATTCTGGGATTCCTTGTATCCTTTCTGCATTCATCAGCAAGGAACCTTATGAGATTTTGTCACTTCTTACTTTAGCCAGAGGGGCTAGCAGTGCCACAGTAGTGATAGTTGTCTACACAATTGGTACTTTGTGAACTCTGATAGCACTTGCATGTTTCACATCAAATGCGATGTGAAAAACATTTACAACTGGGGTGACAGAAATAGGAAAGTCTGGTGGAGCTGATTTAAAAGGGTAGGAGGTAGGAATGAAGATGGTGGGTAGAGTATTGACAAGATTCAGGTCCTAGATGCCAAATTGGCTGGGAAAATTCAGTTGTTTTTAACAGGACAATTTCAATATGAAATCTTTTGTTTTTAAAAAATACATTTAAGTTTTTAAAAGGTCCCTTAAGTATTTTTCAAACAGTTAATACTAAAGGGACATTATCATTATTAGGACATTATATAAATTTATACTTATGGTGTTTTGTTTTGTTTTTTTTAAACAGGAACGAGAATGGTAAGTCTGGCATCCTTAAGAAGACTCCTGGAATCTTGTAAAGATCTTTCCTTACTTGATGTGTCCTTCTGTTCACAGATTGATAACAGAGCTGTGCTAGAACTGAATGCAAGCTTTCCAAAAGTGTACATAAAAAAGAGCTTTACTCAGTGACTTAGTATATATTCTGTAATAAAATTCATGTCCCTTGGTAGGGTTTTTTGGGGGGATGGTTTTGTTTAATTTTTATAATGGTGAGAATTAAGACATTTGTAGATTTGAAAGAAATATGTGAAATTGTCCATTAAAACATGAAAAAATGTAAGCAAATGTTTTCACAAAATATTGCAAGCACTTTTCTTCAAGAATATGTGAGTGGTTGATATTCTTTTTAACTTATGTTAACCATTGCTGTTATGCTTTAGTCAATAATTATATGATTAATAAAATAATAATACAGAAAAATTGTAACTTATCTTTAAAGGAATACTTTGAGCAATAAAGTGTCATGATGTTTATGCAAAAATAAAGTTTATTTTTCACATTTCCACGTAAGGATGTCTTATTAGTAAGCCTTATGACCTGGCAAGTATTTTGTTTGATATGTGCAAAATTATCAGAGCTAGTTGGGAGAGAGACTTGTTTTTCCATCTGTTAGGATTATTTTTTCGAGCTGATACATTAACTGTTCAACTGGAAAATTTGCAGTTTTCCCACTTTTCTTCTGGATTCCATTTTACTGCTAGATTATACCAATATAAAAAATGGGCATAATCAAGAACAAGAAGTACACTACTAAACAAAATAGGTTTCCAACTATTAAGCAGATGCCTTGAAAATTTGCCAGAGAGAAAGGTTCAAGGCTTCTGAATTGTATGTGGATTTTATTTGTATATATAAAAAAAGTGTGGATTTCATTTATATATGTATATGTGTGTGTGTATTTTTCCCCCCTATACCCCAGCACCTTAAATAATTAGAAATCAGCTACAGTGAGGGCTGTGAGGTGGACAAAAAATAAAAAAACCAAACATGTTTTGTTCAATAATGAATTGATTTAGTTCTGCTACTAAGAAAGTAGACGGGAAATATTTTTTGGCATGAAAGGCAGGGCCGTTTTGAATAGAAAACTAATGTTAACTGTGTAGTTAATAAAATTCATTTTTCTGTTCAAGGCTGATGGAGTTTGGATGTATTGTCCTCCCAGAACTCATATGGAAATTTGGCCCCCAGTGTGGCAGTTTTAGACATGGGGCAGATCCCTCATGAATGGATTAATGTTCTCTCTAGGTGGTGGGAGTAATGAGTGAGTTCTCACTCTATTAGTTCCTGTGAGAGCTCGTTGTTTAAAATACCCTGGCACCTCCCCTCTCTCTCTCTTGCTTCCTCTTGCCATGTGATCTGCTTGTACCCACTAGCTGTCGCCTTCCACCATGAGTAGAAGCAGCCTGAGGTCTGCACCAGATACAGCTGTCCCTGAATCGTAAGCCAAATAAACCTCTGTTCTTTATAAGTTACCAGTCTCAGGTATTCTGTTATAGCAACACAAAATGGACTAATACAGACTAATGCAGAGGCAAAATGTTATATTCCAACATCCACATACCCTAGAGTGATCCTGCAGAACTGTCTGTATAATAAATACAGTAGCCACTAGCCATATGTGGCTATTTTATTTCATTTTAGTTAAATTTAATTAAAAATTCAGTTTCTTAGTTGCACATTTCAAGTGTTTAGTCTCACTTGAGACTAGTAGTGGTGATCATGTTGGACAACATGTTGGAAGAAGTAAGGGCCAGTTGAAAAAGGGCTTGGTTATCCTCCATTGTTATTTTCATGCACTGGGATTTTCTTTTCATCCATGAATGTATGTAAATATTTTAAATGTTTTATTCAGTGAGCCTTTTGAGGGGGAGATACATAATTTGACTACAAGCTGTGTAAAGTTGTGCTTTTATCTTACGCTAGCAGCTAACATTAGGTTAATGTTTAGTTTGTGCCAGGCACTGTTTCTGATGATTTTATTTACTAATTCAACTCTCACAACAACCCTGTAAGATAGATGTCATTACTTAACCCCATTTACAGATGAGGAAACTGAGGCAAAGAAAGATTGAGGAATTTACTCATGATCATACAGCTGCTAGTGGCAGAGCCAGCATACTCAGGCCATCTGGCTTTAAAGTGTCCAGGGTGTCTTCTGGTTCTAGAGCAGGAAACTTTTTCTGTAAAGGGACAGATAGTAAATAATTTAGGCTTTATGGGATAAGAGGCAAGATTAAGATTATTAGGTAGGTACTTAAATAACTAGAGAGAGAACAAATTTCCTCAAAATTTTTACTCACAAAATTCAAAACATACCAAAAATAAACTTAATATGGTTCTACTAACAAAAAAAATTAAATACGTTGGGGGAGGATAACATTTCACTTAATTGGGGTTCAAAGTTAGTGGAAGACATTGATAGAATTCTGTTAGTTATTTATTTTCTTTAAATTTACCTTTTAGTTATTACATTGTACATTAATCACTTGCAACTGTAGGTTAGGTGGAAACTCCTCAATTGCACAGTTAAATACATTTTGAAAAATTGAAATTTCATTTATGTTTGCATCAAGATCCAAAAAATGCTGCTGGAAGTGTAGTTTGAGCTACAAACTCATGTGAGAATGGTGATCTTGCTTTTTTTCTTACCTTTTGATAGCATGGGATGCGTATAAAGCAGTTTGATTTTACTTGTAATTCAAATGATATTGTCATCAGAATTACATATGTTTCACATATAAACACTTTTTTGCCTTGTAACTTTTGGTCGAGTTCTTTACAAAACATTATCAAAACTACAGCAAAAACTAAATCCAAAGCCATTTAGTGTTCCATAATAGTGCTGAGGGCATATCTTCTTCAGAAAATTGTCAATATCAGTCCTGGGCTCAAAAACTCACAATAGTACTACCAGTACTAAGCCAATAAACTGCTATGTGGTAGGGCAAATCAGGACATTCAACTTCTATATCTGACAAAGAATCATGGAACTGTTGATGGTTAAATCTATGAGAGCAAATTAAGTTCACCATTGACACTACTAGTTCAAAAACACAAGAAAGATGGCATCAAATGAATAATACAGTAAATTAGCCATAGGCTTTAAACACCTTAAATTTTTCACAAACTTTGTAAATTTAACCAGTGAGGTCTTTTGCTCCCTACGTATTTTTACCACCACCAGTTGTAACACATCTTAGCAGATTCTACTTCAGATTTATGGAATTCATGTTTTAACTTTTTAAGAAAATATTCGTGTCTGTAGTTGTCTCACACAGACATTTCATAGAAAATAACTCTTCAGTCACTTCAACCTTGGTGTAGATTCATCAAATAAAGTATAACTAGGCAATATCAGTAACATCTGCTGACTCATCAAGAGCCAAGGAAAACCAGAGTCATTTGCCTTGTTTTAATTGACTCTTGGCCTTGTTTCCAGTGTTCTCAGTTCATCAAGCAACTGTTCTTGCTAAAAGGCTAATTTAATAGTTTACTCTGGACACATTTTTTCACCACTGGCAAAAGGCTTTTTACATGCTTTGGCTGCAGTTTTATTTTCATTTTATATTTTTGAAAATTAATTCTGCCAAAAAGAGATATCTTGTTTTAAAATTTTCTAATTTTTCTGACCACTGCATTCTTATGAATTGAGAATATTGTGATGAGTGTGTAGTCGGTAATTCCAACATACATAGTATTCTTTCAGAACAGATAGAATGTCATTGCATGTTAACACCATGCTTTGCCATCTAACTTGATCAAAATATAATCCATATCCAGGGCCTTAAAAACATGTCACTTGAATTCTACTTTTCTGTTTTTTTTCTTCTTGTTTTGACATTATAGATATGCAATAAAAAATGTAAAGAAATACTGTTTTATGACAATATGTGTGACAATCAAAATGCTGCTGTTATAACTGCACCACTGCAATTTATAGAATGCCAAACAGTGCAAAATGATGAGAGCACTCACCTAAGTCTCTGTTGCAACTACTCGGCTCTGCTGTTACAGTGTGAAAGAAATAGACAACACAAGAATGAATGAGTGTGCCATGTTCCAATAAAATTTTATTTATGGACACTGAAAGCTGAATTTCACCTTATCTTCATGTGTTACAAAATACTAGTCTTCTTTTAACTTTTTTTTTTTTTTTTTCAGTCATTAGAAAATGTAAAAATCATTCTTAAGGATCAGACTGGATTTAGCTTATGGACCAAATTAGTGACCCCTGTTCTAGGGTATTCTCAAATCAACGAGTAAATCCACGTTTGACCATTCCTAATTTTATAAACTACATTCAAACCTGTTCTCAACTGTTATCTTTCTAATTTTATCATTGAGATTTTAAAATGAAGAACAGTATTTTATTGTCTTAGAGAAAACAAAAGTGTTTACCATAACAAGAAAGAATTTATGTACTCTGTTCATTAAAACTTGAAGCCAAATGACTCATTGTTAACTTTGACAACTGACTTAAATTTTTGTATAATTATTTTTCTAAGCATTTTACTAAGGTAAATTATCTTCCCAGATGCTAGTAATAGGTAGAGAGATGTTCCTGACCCTGTTTGAGAGTAATTAAATGATCCTTTCAACGTAAATTGCTCAGAAATAAGATCTGATAAGTACACAGTATAGATGATTAACATTCTTCCTTTCCTGTTGAGTGCTTAGGTTTTTTTTTTTTTTTTAATTTTTATTGAATCAAAATTGATTATACATATTTTGGGGGTCCAAGGTTGAGATATGTTGATCAAATCAATAGTACTAGCATATGTATTGTACAGATCATACTTATTTTTTATGCACTTTGTCTGATATTACCCCCCTCCCCCCTCTAGTTACCCTACATTTCTTCTCTCCTTCTGAAAGGATAATGGTTACTCTGTTGACTTCTTGCCTAGATGACCTGTCCAATGCTGAGAGGTGTGATCAGGTCCCCCAATATTATCATAGAGCAGATGCTTCTGTCACTGTGGAATGGGCTTTGTGGAGAGAGACATCCTCTTCTTTATCTCTGCTGGTGACTCTCCTTGTGTCAATGCACTCCAGTGGCTGGCGGACCATCTGCGTGGTGGTTGTGGCATCTAGCTGCTTTCGCAGCAGCCATGGTTATTGTGGTGGCTGTGGTGGGCCACCCACATGCAGGTGATGTTTTGGGCATGCACCTTGGCGCTGGTGCTGTGCCTGGTTGTCGGGGGATCAGGTCCCCTGCTCCATACCTCAGGTTCCTGGACAGGCCCCAAGGTGCGGGCACAGTGTGCCTTCTTGTGGGAGGAGGATCTGGTCCCTGGATCCATACTTTGGGTCCTTGGACAGACCCCAAGGCACTGGCATGGTGTGCCTGGTTGAGGGGAGAGAGGTCCGGTCACCAACTCCATGCTTTGGGTCCCTGGGTGGGCCCCAAGGCCTGGTGCAGTGTGCCTTGTTGTGCAAGGGGGGTCTGGTCCCCGGATCCATACCTTGGGTCCCTGGACAGGCCCTGAGGTGCTGGCACGGTGT